TTGGCAAATGACATATCTTCTGAAAAAATATAGGGTGGGTGGGCGGGGCTAGTACTTGCTAAGATAAGACTAATTTTGCTTCTATTAATCTTGTAAAAACTTGTTTTTCCTTGGGATTCATCTTTGCATTCATATTTTTTATTGATCAAAGTAAGAACGAGTGACTCCGAAAATGTCAAAATATAAACGGCTTTATAATAATAAGAATTATTATAATAATGATATTAAAAACATTTTGCCGATTGTGGTTACTACGTAATAGTTTTGATCGTCTGTTTTGAGGGGACGTACTCATTCAAATCAAACTAATTTCTACGTGACATTCTTCCGATGTATAAACATAAACACTTGTTTTTCTTATCGAGGATAACCTGAGGACGTACAGTAATGGAGTCTATCGGGCAATTTGGTACCTTCATATTTTCTCGATATTTCATAACCCCTAGACAAACAAGGCCGTGAGGAGGCTAGGGGATGCTGAGCCTCCTCTAGATCTAGACAAGTTATAATTAACCAAATGTGAATTACTACATCGAAAATCAAAATAAAATTTAGTATTTTATTCAATAAGCAGAAGTCAGAGCAATAAAAAAGTCTGGGATCTTTAGTTCAGTCAGTTCATTGTTTGATTAAACAAGTTACAATGAATAATTCTCTTTTCATAATCAGCTGAATAGAGGGCGGGTGGGCGGGGCTAGTACTTGCTACGATAAGACTGATTTTGGCAAACGCTATACCCTTTGAGAAAATATAGGGCGGGTGGGCGGGGATAGTACTTGCTAAGATAAGACTGATTTTGGCCCTTAAAATCTTGTAAAAATTTGTGAAATTTGAAGGTGTTAATTTCCATAGTACCGAGTTAAATTACCAAGTCTATCCGAAATGTGCAAAATATGATGAGGTTTTACTTGTGATTCATCGTTGCATTAATATTTTTTAGGTTTGCTTATACGGGGTGTCTCAGAAAAATTAATGACTGAGTTATTAAAAAATAAGTATCCAATCAGATTTAGGAATTTAATTCATTGCTGTGGAAATATGGAATTTAACACCTTTTAAATTTAACAAGTTTTTACAAGTGTAATAGGGGCAAAATCAATCTTATCTTAGCAAGTGCTAGCCCCGCCCACCCACCCCCTAATTTCTTAGAGTTTATGTCATTTGCCAAAATCAGTCTTATCTGAGCAAGTACTAGCCCCGCCCACCCGCCCTCTATTTTCTCAGAGGCAATGGCATTTGCCAAATTCAGTCTTATCTTAACAACATTCATCAACGTAATTATTATCTTTTATGAAACTCCAAAGGAAATGATGGGGTTCAAATCGGGAGATCTTGGAGGCCGTCTTATTGTGTTTTTATTCCCCATCCAACGGTTTTGAAACATTTTTGTCGCAAAAATATCCACTTTTTCACAGTATGAGATGGTGCCCGACAGAGATTTCTGACTAAATATATACTGGGTGTCTGGAAAATGGGGGATTATCTTTTCAGTACGTTATGTATGGGGATTTCGGCAGTCCCAAAAAAAAATAAAATTGACAACACTGCACGCACCTAATGCGTGAATACTTTCGGTTTATTTCCTGATTTCTTAATAACTTTTTTTTTAGAACAATAACCATAACCACCAGCAGTCATTAATCATAAAAAAAAAACAGTTATTAAGACATTTATAAATTATAACCAAAAACAAAACCGACAAAAGAAAAATCGATTAAACACTATAGAAGTTCAAAATTCCTGCCTTGTGTATATAAGTAAGTAAGCTCGTAATGTTTCCAAATTTTGATAATATTTTGTGAAAGTTAGTCATCAGTACTTGCCAAGATGAAACAGGTTTTGGCAAATGGCATACCTTCTAAGAAAAGAGAGGGTGGGTGGGCGGGGCTAGTATCTGATAAGATAAGACTAAGTTTGGCAAATCGGATACCCTCTGAGAAAAGAGAGGGTGGGTGGGCGGGGCTAGTACCTGCTAAGATAGGACTGATTTTGGCAAATGACATACCTTCTAAGAATAGAGAGGGGATGAGCCGGGCTAGTAGCTACCAAGATAAGAATAAGACTGATTTTGGCTAATGCGATACCCTCTAAGAAAAGGGAGGGTGGGGGGGGGGGGGGTAGTACCTCCTAAGATAAGACTGATTTTAGGAAATGATCCTCCCAAGATATTTAATTAAATTATGTATTATATGAAAATTTACTGGAGGCTCCAAAGGACTTTCAAATTCGTTCCAAACAGGAGTACTTGGCATCCAGCAACAAAACACCAGATTCCTTTAAACTTATCCGAAAATAAAACCCCAGGTGACCTAAAATTAACTGTGATCATTTTAAACGTAGGGTTTCGAAAACTTTGACAATTTTTGATACGTCTATTATTTTTAATGCGGATAAACCTTTTTTGCACTTTTTCCGACAGTTCAGAATCAACATTGTAAATTGGAAACCCAACTCCAGATGAGAGCGCACCAAAGAACCAAAAAGAGTCTTTAGGGCCACTGGAAAAAGATCTTTACAATTAGGTACACCAGATGAGTCCCTACATTTGCAAAGATTTTTTGAAAATGTACGAATAATGAGATTTGAAGGAAATAGCAGAGTCAAATATTCCCCGCAAATCTTTAATTTCTGAAACACGAGACACAGAATGATTCTTTAATTGATAGTCGAACTCAATGAAAGATTTCATATTACAGAATATTATTTTTAAATTTAAAGGTAGCAAATTTTCATCACACCAATCAATTAAAGGCTCGAAAGTAAAACGTATATTTTTAAAAAGTTTCAAATCATCAGCATAAAAAAGATTATTACAATGAAAAAAACAACTACTCAAATCGTTGATGAATAATAAAAGTATAGGCCCACAGTGTGTACCCTGCGGTACACCAGAAGAAACATCATAATGATCCGAAATGTATTTATCATTACGAACCTGGTAATGGAAATGGTAATTAAACATGGTCATGGGCGAGAGAAATATTAAGTAAAAGTTTTATTACTAGTTATTGTGATAATTTTAAAATCATTATAACTCCAACAAAATGTGAGAAGAAATGTTTTTACTATTTTCCCCAGATTCACCAGTTCATTGTTAAAAGAGCTTAGCAAAAAGTTAATTCCCCATTTTCCAGACACTCGGTATATGCAGGGCAATAATCCAGTAATGCACAAAATTCTTAAAAAGCGCAGCATTTGTTTTTGAAAAAAATGAAAAACATGTTTAGCCTTTCATTTTATTCTCCATCTTTTGACATATGTCAAAAAAAAAATACGTCATTTTTGTGAACGTTATGACGTCATCAATGATTTTTTTAAATGAGACTCTATAATTTTGATCGAATTATTATCGAATTTAACAGCAGATCGATATTTAGTTAATCTTAGAATCGTTTCTTGATCCAGATAATCCACAAAATTTAGATCGCAGGATTTAGTTCCAACAGGATGGGGCACCACCACATTGTGGCGTAAATGTAAGTTTTTTTTTTGGATAATCAATTTGATAGAAGATGGATTGGAAGGTGTGGGACCAATAGAATGGCCACCTAGGTCTCCGGATCTGACACCTCTTGATTTTTTTTTAATGGAAACATTTAAAAAGTCGTGTTTACATAAACAGACCCGATAATTTAGACGACTTGAAAGCAGGAATTCGTCATGAAATGACTGGTAAAAGTCCGCAGAATATTGAACATTCCGTCAATCAGATCTACCATTGTCTGATTGGCAGATAGTGAATGGGGAACAGTTTGAACAATTTCTATAGCATAAATTTTTACTCAACATATTGTTCTGTTTATTTAATACTTGTCATTGAAACCAAGTTTAATTTATTTGTTAATTTTCTAAATTTTTTTGTTATACAATCAAAATATTTACAAAATCGATCATTGTTTTCTAACATTTGTCAATAGATGGAGATTAAAATAAAAACTTTGACATGTTTTGCGTTAATTTTTTCGTGTTAACAGGCCAGAATTCCGTCTTAAACCACCCGTTTCACACAGTACTGCCTCCATAGCGGTAGCCAATATCGCAGAAATGCTCCCATGATAGATTGCGCCTCGAGATATTTAAATTAATGTTTGCAGTGACAGCTTTACCGCAAATAATCGCTGCCGTTTCCGGCGTCCTTCGTCCTGCTGCACCACCCGCTCCAGTCCGGAGTCAAGGCGCTTGACGGATAAACTACTAACCATGAATTAAGTAATAGCCGATTTAACATTTTGCAGCTCCAAACCTCCGAGTCTTTGAAGTTGTTGAGGAATTAATTCAACGTGTATTAAGTAACACTTTTTAAACCTTTTTAGTCTACAAAATACAAAAATACAAATTGTATGCGGACTTTAGTTTTTCAAAAATGTCGAGTTAACCTTGTATATCAAAAAACAAATAGAGAAAACACAAAATTCTTATTGTTACCCTTCGGATCGCAAAGTCGCTCCACTTCGTGTCTAACACAATAGAAAGCCTTTGGGCGTGCCCCTCACCACATGACGTAACGAAATATCGGCGAACTCAATTCTCAATCTTATCAGTTCCTTTGGAAACAACATCTCTAGGTTTTAAAGAAAGCTTTATTGATTCGTGCTGTTTGAATGGTCCTATTATTGCCACGTTTTTTGCTTCTGGCTTTAATTAATTCCGTTGGTTATTGTATTGTGTCTGAATTAAGGATAATTGCAATTTTTAGTCGCAGTTCTTCATTTATTTAGTGCGCATTATTTTGTCATCGAAGTAATTAGTGCGTGATGACAAGTAATTATAACACTTGCCACAACAAAGTTATAAGTGCATTTATCATCAATCATGTGATAAAATAAATAATGAAGTGCAGGTGTTCCGAATACGATTTACATCTATTTTCACTATCGGTCGTTCGAAGTACACTCCATTAACTCGTCTAGCTTTTTGTTTATTTGGTTTTTGTCTGAGTGTTTTAGTTTTTATTTTTTAATTTAGTTTGTTTTTCAATGTTTGTTGTTTTCTTGTTTCAGTAAGAAGATGTTACTGCGAAGGACTCTGTCCAGACCATCACCAATCCAACGGGACCTGCGAAATCAGGCCCGGCGGGTTCTGTTTTACCTCAGTCGAGGTAGGATACACCGATCAAGGTGTCGAATATCCACTCAGGAGGTATGGCTGTCTTCCACCGGACGAAGGAAGCCTCATGCAGGTTCGTGCCTTCATTACGCCCCCTATTTTTTCTATTTTCTTCGATTTTTCCCCTTCAGTGTAAAGGCCACCTCGTCCCCCACCTCGAGCGCAAATCGATCCAATGCTGCGACAACATGGACCTGTGCAACAAAGACTTGAAACCGATGTACCCCGACCGCCCCACCCCCGACGCCCCCCAATACAGCCCCTTCGACAGCCCCCCCTACATCGTCCTCCTCACCTCCGTCACCTTCTGCATAACCGTTTGCCTGATCGTCATCATGATCTGCTACCTCCGATACCGCAAGAAGCAAGGCCTCTTCCACAAGGACTACCCCGAGAAGTACCCCTCGATGAACATCCACCGGCACCACCTCATCGACGACAAGAGCAGCGGCTCGGGCTCCGGCATGCCGACGCTGGTCCAGAGGACCATCTCGAAGCAGATCCACATGGTCAGCTCGGTAGGCAAGGGCCGCTACGGGGAGGTGTGGCTGGCGCGGTGGCGAGGCGAACGCGTGGCAGTGAAGGTGTTCTTCACGACGGAGGAGCAGTCCTGGTTCAGGGAGACGGAGATCTACCAGACGGTGCTGATGCGACACGAGAACATACTGGGCTTCATCGCGGCGGATATCAAGGGCACGGGCTCGTGGACGCAGATGCTGCTCATCACGGACTACCACGAGAACGGCTCGCTCTACGACTACCTGCAGGACCACGTGCTCGACTCGACGACGCTGCTGACGATGGCGTTGAGCATAGCGAGCGGGCTGGCGCACCTGCACACCGAGATCTTCGGGACGAGAGGTAATTTTCTTCGTCTTGTTCCTGAATAGGGTGGGTGCGAATTTTAAACGAGCCATTGTCGGAATGGGTTTGTAGCGTTTTTAAAGAACAAAGGTTTTCGTTAAACTGCTAATGAAATATTCATGATGAGTTGTTGTGGTAATTAAATTACATATTTAATGTGCGAGAGGCTATTAGCAAGTCTGGTATGATGTGTGATTATACCAGGTCTATTAAAAAGTCTGATATTATGCTCTTTGTTACGGGCGGGTGGGACCTTCTGGAGGTTGGAGGTACACAAGAGTGCCGGTACCCGAATCAAAATTTTATATACTTTCAAATGAAGTAAAATTTAGGCATTTCAGACGCCGGTTTAAATTTTTCCCGGACTGGTGCAGAATCAGCCCCTGATCACGAGACCCCAAGGTTCTCTCAAACAACTTCGAAAACAAAACAACAGAGGCCCTATGATTCTTTCAAACTACTTCAAAAACAACAAAAATGATCCCCGAGGTTCTTTCAAACTACCTTAAAAACGAGACACAAGGAGTCCTCGAGATTCTTTCAAACTATTTCAAAAACCAAACACAAAGTATCCTCGAGATTCTTTCAAACCACTCAAAAACCAAACACTAGCGGTCCTAGAGATTCTTTCGAACCACTTCAAAAACGAAACAAATGGGGTCCCCGAGGTTCTTTTAAACAACTTCAAAAACAAAAAAAAAATGGAGTTCCCAAGATTTTTTTAAACTACTTAAAAAACGAAATGGGTTTTCCGAGATTCTTTCAAACTTCTTCAAAAACCAAACAGATGGAGTCACCGAGATTCTTTCAAATTACTTCAAAAACCAAACACAAAGTATCCTCGAGATTCTTTCAAGCCACTTCAAAAACAAAACAAATGGGGTCCTCGAGATTCTTTTAAAGTGCTTAAAAAACCAAACACTAACGGTCCTAGAGATTCTTTCGAACCCCTTCATAAACGAAACAAATGGGGTCCCCGAGATTCTTTTAAACTACTTAAAAAAACGAAATGGGTTTTCCGAAATTCTTTCAAACTTCTTCAAAAATCAAACAAAAGGGGTCCTAGAGATTCTTTCCAGCCACTTCAAAAACAAAACAAAGTGGTCCCCAATATTCTCTTAAACTACTTCAAAAACCAGACACAAGGAATCCTCGAGATTCTTTCAAACCACTTCAAAACCAGAACAAATTGGGTCCCCGAGATTCCTTCAAACTACTTCAAAAATCAAACACAAAGTATCCTCGAGATCCTTTCAAGCCACTTTAAAAACAAAACAAATGGGGTTCTCGAGATTCTTTTAAACTACTTCAAAAACTAAACAAATGGGGTCCCGGAAATTCTTTTAAACCACTTCAAAAACTAAACAAATGGAGTCCCCGAGATTCTTTTAAACTACTTAAAAAAGAAATGGGTTTTCCGAGATTCTTTCAAACTTCTTCAAAAACCAAGTAAAAGGGGTCCTTGGGATTCTTTAGAACCACTTCAAAAACAAAACAAATGGAGTCCCCGAGATTCTTCAAACCACTTCAAAAACAAAACGAAACTGGTCCCTGAGATTCTTTCTACTTCAAAAACCAAACACTAGCGGCCCTCGAGATTCTTTCGAACCACTTCAAAAACGAAACAAATGGGGTCCTCGAGATTCTTTTAAACAACTTCAAAAACAAAATGGGTTTTCCGAGATTCTTTCAAACTTCTTCAAAAGCCAAACAGAAGGGTCCTTGAGATTCCTTCGAGCCACTTCAAAAACAAAACGAAACTGGTCCCTGAGATTCTTTCTACTTTAAAAACCAAACACTTGCTTAGGGTCCCCGAGATTCTTTTATACTATGTACTTCAAAAACCAAACTGAAGGGGTGCTCCAGATTCTTTCGAGTGACTTCAAAAACAAAACAAATGGGGTCCCCGAGATTCTTTTAAACTACTTCAAAAACGAAGGGATCCCCGAGATTCTTTCAAGTTATGTACTTCAAAAACGAAACGAAAGAGGTCACTGAGATTCTTTCAAACTAGTTCAAAAACCAGACACAAGGGGTCCTCGAGATTCTTTCGAGTGACTTCAAAAACAAAACAAATGGGGTCCCCGAGATTCTTTTAAACTACTTCAAAAACCAAACAAAAGAGGTCCTTGAGATTCTTTAGAGCCACTTAAAAAACAAAACAAATGGGGTCCCCGAGATTCTTCAAACCACTTCAAAAACAAAACGAAACTGGTCCCTGAGATTCTTTCTACTTCAAAAACCAAACACTAGCGGCCCTCGAGATTCTTTCGAACCAGTTCAAAAACGAAACAAATGGGGTCCTCGAGATTCTTTTAAACAACTTCAAAAACTAAACAAATGGGGTCCCGGAGATTCTTTTAAACCACTTCAAAAACAAAACAAAGGGGTCCCCGAGATTCTTTTAAACTACTTCAAAAACGAAGGGATCCCCGAGATTCTTTCAAATTATGTACTTCAAAAACGAAATGAAAGAGGTCACTGAGATTCTTTCGAGTGACTTCAAAAACAAAACAAATGTGATTCCCGAGATTCTTTTAGACTACTTCAAAAACGAAATGAGTTTTCCGAGATTCTTTCAAACTTCTTCAAAAATCAAACACAAAGGGTCCTTGAGATTCTTTCGAGCCACTTCAAAAACGAAACTGATCCCTGAGATTTCACTAAAGCTTCTTCAAAAACTAGACACAATGGATCCTCGAGATTCTTTCAAATCACTTCAAAAACATATCAAATGGGGTCCTCGTGATTCTTTTAAACTATGTACTTCAAAAACCAAACTGAAGGTGTCCTCGAGATTCTTTCGAGTGACTTCAAAAACAAAACAAATGGGGTCTCCGAGACTCTTTTAAAATACTTCAAAAACGAAATGGGTTTTCCGAGATTCTTTCAAACTTCTTCAAAAATCAAACACAAAAGGTACTTGAGATTCTTTTGAGCAACTTCAAAAACGAAACTGATCCCTGAGATTTCATTAAAACTTCTTCAAAAACTAGACACAAGGGATCCTCGAGATCTTTTCAAATCACTTCAAAAACATATCAAATGGGGTCCTCGTGATTCTTTTAAACTATGTATTTCAAAAACCAAACTGAAGGGGTCCTCGAGATTCTTTCGAGTGACTTCAAAAACAAAACAAATGGGGTCTCCGAGATTCTTTTAAACCACTTCAAAAACGAAATGGGTTTTCCGAGATTCTTTCAAACTTCTTCAAAAATCAAACACAAAGGGTCCTTGAGATTCTTTCGAGCCACTTCAAAAACGAAACTGATCCCTGAGATTTCATTAAAGCTTCTTCAAAAACTAGATACAAGGGATCCTCGAGATTCTTTCAAATCACTTCAAAAACATATCAAATGGGGTCCTCGTGATTCTTTTAAACTATGTACTTCAAAAACCAAACTGAAGGGGTCCTCGAGATTCTTTCGAGTGACTTCAAAAACGAAACAAATGGTGTCTCCGAGATTCTTTCAAACTACTTCAAAAACGAAATGGCTTTTCCGAGATTCTTTCAAACTTCTTCAAAAATCAAACGCGAAGGGTCCTTCGAGATTCTTTCGAGCCACTTCAAAAACGAAATTGATCCCTGAGATTTCATTAAAGCTTCTTCAAAAACTAGACACAAGGGATCCTCGAGATTCTTTCAAATCACTTCAAAAACATATCAAATGGGGTCCTCGTGATTTTTTTAAACTATGTACTTCAAAAACCAAACTGAAGGGGTCCTCGAGATTCTTTCGAGTGACTTCAAAAACAAAACAAATGGGGTCTCCGAGACTCTTTTAAAATACTTCAAAAACGAAATGGGTTTTCCGAGATTCTTTCAAACTTCTTCAAAAATCAAACACAAAGGGTCCTTGAGATTCTTTCGAGCCACTTCAAAAACGAAACTGATCCCTGAGATTTCATTAAAGCTTCGTCAAAAACTAGACACAAGGGATCCTCGTGATTCTTTTAAACTATGTATTTCAAAAACCAAATTGAAGGGGTCCCCGAAATTCTTTTGAGTGACTTCAAAAACAAAACAAATGGGGTCTCCGAGATTCTTTTAAACTACTTCAAAAACGAAATGGGTTTTTCGAGATTCTTTCGAGCCACTTCAAAATCGAAACTGATCCCTGAGATTTTATTAACGCTTCTTCAAAAACTAGACACAAGGGATCCTCGAGATTCTTTTAGACCACGTCAAAAACAAAACAAAAGTGAACTCTTGAGATTCTTTCAAATCAATTCAAAAACATATAAAATGGGGTCCTCGTGATTTTTTTAAACTACTTCAAAAACCAAACAGTAGCGGTCCTCGAGATTCTTTCGAACCACTTCAAAAACGAAACAAATGGGGTCCCCGAGATTCTTTTAAACTATGTACTTCAAAAACCAAACTGAAGGGGTGCTCCATATTCTTTCGAGTGACTTCAAAAACGAAACAAATGAGGTCCCTGAGATTTATTCAAACTACTTAAAAAACCAAACTCACGGGGTCCGAGATTCTTTCGAGTGATTTCAAAAACAAAACAAAGAGGTCCCCGAGATTCTTTTAAACTATAATGAAACCTCTCCACAATGGACACCTATGGGGAATCTCAAATTTTCTCCGCTGTGGAGAGGTGTCCGCTGTCAAGAGGTTTCAAAACACGAAGTAAAGAAAGTACTACATTTTAACATGTACATACCAGCGGCGAATTTTTCTGAGTCGCCAAATGCTTAATTTGAACTTCTCGGCATTGTCGATAATTTCAATTTTTTTCACTAATCATATAATAGTCATATTACACACTTTAAACGTAAACGCTCAAATAATAATATGCCATTTGGGGAAAACCCATATTTACTCCTGTTATGAGCAGTGTAGGGTTGAAGAAAGTTGTGACCTGGTACCGAGAATCTGTTGGCATAATCTTCAAATTTTATTGTACGGTCTAATCTCGGGATCGCTTTACCTGTTACCTGTCCGCTGTGAAGAGGTAATTTTTTACACAAAACAAAATGTCCCAAAAATGGTCATTCTATTGCAAGAAGCAGACAAAAGGGGTCCTGAATATTCCTTCAAACTAGCACATAATTAATAAAATTGGCCCAAAATAGAACCCTGAGGCACACCTAGATGTATTTTCTTGCCTTTTGAAAGTTTGTTCTTTATAGCCGCTATTTGCGTACGATTTTGCAGAGATGATCTAAAAAGTTTTAAAGTTTCACCTGTTATACCATAATGCTCCAATTTCGGCATCAAAATTTCGGAATTTGCTCAATCCAATGCCTTTTTAGGAAGCTAGAATTGTATTTTTATTTTTCCTATAACCGAACTGCACTACAAAGAAATTGATTTTGATCAAAATAATTTATAGTTCTGATTTTTATCATAATTTCGAGTATTTTCGAAAAAAGCGAAATTGGAATTAGTTTTTTTTTTGTGCAATGGGAAATTGTTCCTGTTTATAACTAAGTTAAACACATCTGCTAGAGGTTTAGCTGTAATAGTGGATACATACTTAACGACTTCAACTGTTAAATCGTATATATATATTGCTTAATTTCGAGTGTTTATATGAATAAAAACTTCTAATTTTCTGATCTGTTGAAAAAATAATAACTTTTTTGAACCATTTATGACGTTTTGGGTCCCATTTGAGTTTTGCTTGAGATCCTGAATTATGTCAACAAAATATTTACTGAAGTTTTCTGAACTTAAAGGAGATGTCGTATTTCAAAAACAAGATATCACGGGCAGGGACGAGTGGGAACTCATGGAAATCAGGACTTTTCCAGAGGTGCCAGTAGTAGCCGTGGCATACCAAATCGTCGGTGCGGGAATCAAAATTTTCTTTACTAAACGAAGTAAAATTTCGGTCTTTCGGGCATCGGTCTATTTTCTGACCTGACCTTTTTTTTATTGTTTGCCTGATATGTAGAAATAGAAGTACATATTATGAGGGACCAAACTCTAACCTTTTCTCGTTTTGCAGGTAAGCCGGCCATCGCCCACCGCGACATCAAGAGCAAGAACATCCTCGTGAAGAGCAACCTCGAATGCTGCATCGCCGACTTCGGCCTGGCCGTGAAGTACTTCAGCGACACGAACGAGATCGACGACCCTCGCTGCAGCAGCATCGTCGGGACCCGCAGCGGCACCAGGCGGTACATGGCCCCCGAGATCCTCGACAGCAGCATCAACGTGCGCAACTTCGAGGCGCACAAGATGGCCGACATGTACGCCTTCGGGCTGGTGCTGTGGGAGATCTCCAGACGGTGCATCACCGGCGACAAGATCACGACGGCCGACGAGTACCAAGTGCCATACTATGACTGTGTGCCGAGTGACCCTAGTTTCGACGAGATGATGCAGGTGGTTTGCGTGAAGAACGCGCGTCCCCATATCCCCATCCGGTGGGAGTCGGAGCACGTGCTCAAGACGCTGGCGAAGGTGATGCAGGAGTGCTGGCACTCGAACCCCTCGGTGCGGCTGACGGCCCTGCGGGTGAAGAAGACGCTGTCGAAGCTGGACACTGATTCGTGCATCAAGATCGTGTAGTGTGTATAGGGAGCAGCCCGGATTCGATCCGTCGGTGTATGCCCGGAGTAGATTGTTACAAAGCTAACACAATCCTACCAATAACAAATTGTACATAGACTTAATGTAAGTTTGTAAATAGTACGACGTAAGGAGATATCTGTAAGAATTCAAAGTACCTATACATTCACATATGAAGTCTTAACGACAATATTCAACCAAACTGTCCGGACACAATGATTTTTTAACGGGACGTAGGGTACACTCAGCCATAGCAACTCACAATTCCTAAGTAGTGCCATTTTTTCGGATATGAACAATTTTGAAAAGTTATTGTGTCTCAAACTGTTGCGTACAAGTTTGGTACTCGAAGACAATCGTCACTTTGGGTATTTCTAGTGTCTTGATTTTATCCATACACTTGTTAAAATTGCACGGAATTACGATGGTTAAGTTCAAATTTGCTCAAAATATGGTTCATTTGTAACGATCAAGTGCAATGGAAGTTTTTTGTTTTCGTTTTTTCGTTTTTTTTACTGTAAATACTTCTGTTTATTTACTTTCTCCCGTGAAACATATAGGCCGTGTGACTGTAGTATTGTGCATTTACGTTTGTAAATATCCATTTATCTTTTGTAATAATGTGAAAGTATCAAAATTGTTTTGGATGTGCAGTAATATTGCAAGACTGATATATTTTGAATGTGTATACAAAAATAACGTAATAAATAGTTTATAGAAAATGGGCTTTTATTAACTAACGTTTTCAGCTAAATACAAAACACCCTATTTATAATCATGAAACCCCCGTAGCTTCCTCCGTTGAGAGCCTATCCAACAACGCGTCCACTCGCTTTTGTTTTTCGCGGGCTGCGGATCTTATCTTTGCGAGGAGTGCCGGATACGGCATCAGTATTTCGAAAATGTCGCTTCTCCTCAACCCTAACAACTCGCAGTCACTTCGTGCCATCGCTGTGAACATCCTAGGGGCGTTGCTGATGACGGTGGTCTCGCCGAAGTGTTTGCCTTCGCCGAATTGCATCACCTACCGGAAACAAATCTCACATTATGATCAAGAAGAGCGTCTGAATCCTAGTCACGGCACCAACTACCCTTATATTAAAGCAAACTGATTTTGACCCCTCTTGCCCTAAACTATTACGCTTCTAGTACAAGCTAGGAACGAAGGAAAGCGAAACCAAGCACTGTCAAAAGATTTTTAAAATTCAGAAGATACTGGTAAATTTGGAAGGCTATTCTGTGGTTATAAATGTGGGTACTGATTTGTTTGTTCTAGGGTCAATTAGTAAAACCAAAAATGGATCAAACTTTTACTTTCATGTCATTGTAAATCACAATCACGACAGCATGGATAGGAGGGATTATTTTTCAAGACTCGAAGGACCCTTGTTAATAATAATGGATAATGCCATTACCATTTTAGAAAAGTCAACAGAGTGTTAACAACACAGTGGACTAAACATCTGTTTATTCAACCTAAGTTTGGGCGCCCATAGGGGAACTGAGGTTTTTGCACCGATTTCCTAATAAAACTGAAGCAACGAATCAATATTTTTGTCGAGGGGTAAACCGCCGACCATCAAGTGTACAATTGATTTCCTTTTGACAATGATTTCCTCTGATTTCTTTTGATTTCCTGTGATTTCTTCTTGATTTCCTATGATTTCATCTTGATTTCCTATGATTTCCTTTTGATTTCCTCAAAATTTGTTTACATATTGTACTACAGGGCGATTGTTAATTTTTTTTTAACTTGACCTTTTTGTTTTGCCGATCATGATGTTGAATTTAAACCTTTTTTTACCAAGTGTTTACTAAAGTACGGTGACTAGGTAAGCTGAAGTGCTTTCCCTTTAGACGAAAAAAATAAATAAATAAAATGTATTGTGCTGCTAAGCAACAAACTGAAATGTTTAAGAAAAAAAATCTGATTTACTTACAAAAAGAACGCTACTCTGAAATCGAGGTTTTACATGTCTAAATCAATAGAGTAAGTATACGTTCGAATTTTACACTTTCTGGGGTCAAATGTTTATTCTAAAAGTGAACATATGCAATATTCTAGATTTTTACACATTCAGTCAGAAAACCTTATGGTCTATTTTAATTTTGAAATTAAAAATGTCTGGTGTGTACAAATTAGTTCGTTTAAATCACTCAAAGATTTAATAAATTATATTATATATTATTATTAATTTTTTAATAAATTATAATATAAAATATTGCTTTTGACTTTACGAAATTAAAAGGACATAAGGCCAAGGATATTTTTAGTTACGTCAGCAGTTTTTACTTATCAGTGACTCAAACTGATAAGGCAACAACGACTGGCTCATACGTTCACAGAGGTAATTAATGAATACCAAATAATCCAAAATCATTCTATTAAGTTCATCTCTGTGTTGTGGATACAAGATCATGTTAAAGTTTGACCTACTAAATCAAACTTATAATAATAACTTAAGTCATTACTTTTTAAAAATTGAGTTTATTCATTTGTTATGGTAGCATAAACAGAAAAAACAAGTAGTTTCATTTATTTTATTAAATGTTAAAAAAACGGTAACTCTAAACATAAAAGTAAAGCATTTCTGTTGGATCATAACAAAATATCACAAAATAAAACAACTTCTTAAAAAATACTTACCCCATAACCTGGGTCGAGATTTATGTATATAACTATTGTAGATGATGTTGAAGTAAAAAACTGTGCTAAATTCTAGCTACCCATAAATACAGATGATAACACTTTTAATTTTTTGTTCACAACTTTCAAATGAAGCATATTAGAAAACAACTTTTGAAATGCAAAATTTAACAAATAAGAATTTTTTTTTGCACAATAAAGGAGTGAATAACCCCAGTTGATAAATTTTCAGAGGTAATTTTCCCCTTTAAAAGTGTTCATGGGCACCTAGAATTTTGCAGTTTCTTACTTTCGTATTCTCTACAATATATACTTGTACAAATCTCGACCCAGGTTGAGGTTACATTATCACAAATTTTAATCACATCACTTAAAAAAAAGTAGAATTAAATCAAATATTTTTTCAATATTTTTTTTTCAAAAACTAAACTGCCTCCACTGAGTACCTGAGGTGGAGGTAGTTTCATTATATATTCATTTTCTTGGATCTCCCCCTGATCTTTAATGTCCATAAACATAAAAGCATCCGGAATTTTTGGATTCGTTTTCAAAAAATCACAAAAAATAGGGTTAAGTGATAACACTTTACCAATGTAACATTTTTTGTTTTGTTTTTGAGTTGTTAATTGTACTATAATATAATCGTCTATATTTAAGTCTGGTTTAGAACGATCAGTCTTACTATTTTCAGCCTTGAGATACAAACGAGGATTCAAATCATCAGAATAATTGGAAGAATTCAAACTTTCGGTGTCCGTGCTGTCATCATATTCGATACTACTTGGGTTGTCTAAATCAGATGAGTCACTTTTTTGTTTTCCAATTTGGACAGGTTTTTAAATTTGAGATGCATCTTTATGTTGAAGGCAGGTATCTGTTTCTGAGTTAACTCTACTACTATTTCATTTCTTATTTTGAATAAATCTTTTGAGACGATCCACATTCCACACTGACGCGAGCCTTTTCATTGTCTAACAGCCAGAAAAGTGAAGACTTTTTTATAACTTTTGTTGTATTATCTAAGCGTATTCTGACTAGATCACCTTTCTCAACAAAAATATCGTCAATATCAAAACTTCTAAGGTGTATGTCTCTGTCAAATTTCTTAGATTCGTACGAAATTGTGCAAAGATCATTCAGTAAATCTTCATCTTGGTCAACTGGATCCTTTTCCAAACTTTGAAAACAGTTACGTTTCATGGCTATTTGATAATTGTTGTAATTTTCAATGTGATCGCACTGTTCTTCACTAAACATTTCATCTTCAACTTCGTCATTGCATTCATTGTCTTTACACGGAGGCAAAAATACATAGTTGAAATCTATCACTTTCATTCCTAAATCTTCAGTGTCACGCAGACAATCCCGTAAAGCTGATTCTACGGTGCTTTGTATATCTTTATCTGAAATGTTTCCTAAGTCATCATTTTTCACAAAATCTCTCTTCATGATTGAACTTTTTATCCTGATTTCTCTAGGAAAAACGAATTTTTTATCCAAATCGTTTTTAATGTTGTTTATAGTTTGCAGTCTGTCACTTCGATGCAACATATCTCTTATACTAAAATTAACAATTGTGCTAAAAGTTGAGGTCATTGATCTAAGGCTTCTAAACATACTCTCACGAGTTTGAGAGCTAAACTTCCAAGGCAAGAACATATCATCAGTAAGATTTTTGCACGACCTGAACTTAATGAATTTGGTACCTCATATCACAAACTCAATTTTTAAAAACTAATTTGGGGTGAAATTATAAATTTGGTTTGTAGGTATAAAGCAATATAATGTATCATTTCTCATCGGAACTGCACTTCATAACTACAACTTTAATATTTGTCAAGCTGAAATATCATGCTGTCAGTTAATGATATTATACTGGAATTTTCTACCATTATGCCCTTAAAAGGTTATTTAATCTCCACTTTTAAGATTAAATTGATATTTTCTTTCTTATGATGAATGCTATAACTTATGTCGTACATGTTACGTTTATTAGTTCTAGAAAATATCTAGTTTAACTGGATTTGCTATGATGATTTTGGATTTCCTTTGTTTTCTTGTTGATTTCTCGTTAATTTCCTCTTGATTTCCTTTTGATTTCCTTTGATTTCCTGTGATTTCCTTTGATTTCCTCTGATTCCCTTTTTGATTTCCTATTTCCTGTGATTTCCTTTGATTTCGTCTAGCGTGTACAATTGATTTCCTCTGCGGTTTACCCCTCGATTTTTCTTTACACAAATTATTTCAAACCATACTCTACAGCTTTGCCGCTGACTGTGTCGTTTAAAAAAACCATTGATGACGTCAAAACAAATTTAACTTCTTCAGCACACAACACCTTTTGAAGAATTGTACCCCGTTTTTAAAGGTACCCTTTTTAAAAAGTTAAAATTTTAAGGAATTATATTGTTTGTATCAAACGTGAATACGATTTCGTCCAAAAAAAATTCACCTTTTAAAAACACTTAAATTTGTACTGTATGGGGTGTTCAACACAAAGGAGCTAGTATTTGCTAAGATAAGACTGCTTTTGGCAAATGAAACAATCCTCTGACAAAATAGAGGGCGGGTGGGCGGGGCTAATCCTTACTACGATTGGACTAATTTTGGCAAATGAGATATCCTCTGAGAAAATAGGAGGCAAATCTGAAAAATATGAATGCAATGATAAATTAAAAGTAAAAACTCATCATACTGTGCACATTTTGGGTAGAATTTGTTCGGCTAAATTTTGACATAACCTCATCAATTTTTTGGAGGGAATAACCAGATTTATTTTGATTAACAATTTACCATGCTTACAATGACTTTAAAACGTCTGCAAGATTTCAAAGCATTCGTTTTGCAATTCTTGGTGTATTCAATAAAATTAATTGACTGATTTATTAATTTTTTTGAGTCAACCTGTATAAGTAAATCTAAAAAATATTAATGCAATGATAAAGTATAAGTATAGACTGATCATATTTTGCAATTTTAGATAGGATTTATTTTGTAAAATTTTGAGGTGATAAAAATGATGTCATCAATTTTTTGGGATTAATAAAAAGATACATTTTGATTAAAAAGTTACCATGTTTAGAATAACTTCAAAACATCTGGAAGATTTCAAAGTATTCAGTTTTGCAATTCTTGATTTGAACAATAAAATAAATTAACACAGTTATTAATTTTTTAAACAAATCTAAAAAATTGATCGAAAGTCATTTCGACAGAACTTCCCTCACTTCTGAAGGACAGTCCAACAAATATTGCTTCTCTGAAAAATTATAAAATTTGATTTTGCGAAATTTTACTTTTTCGTGATAATCTCTGTGGAGAGGAGTAAAAGGAGGTTGCACATTCTTAAAATAAACAGATATGTTTTGATTAACAAT